CTCCGGGCCGAGCGCAACGTCACCGCTCCCGCACGTCGGCGTCGCGGCGCACGCAGGGCGGAGGGTGACGTGGGGGCGTCGCGGCGAGACTGGGGGGGGTGGGCGCGTGAGCAGCCACTGTCCTCCCCCACCCCTGTCACGTGACAGCGCGGGGAGCCCTGCCCCTGCGAGCCACCCGGGGGCGGGGCGAGTAACCTTGACGTGGCACTGCGAACCCCGGCTCGGGGGGCGGGGCCGTTGGGGGCGGGCCAGGGTCGTGTGTGACGTTGCCGTTCCCTCCTTGCCTGCGCCTTGAAACACTTTGAAAAGTGTTCAAAATGTAGGATTCGTAGTAGAGATGATCTCTCTTATTAGACCAACACGGTTTTTGCAAAAAAAAAATAAAAAAAAACTTTAAAAAATTTTTTCTCGGAATTTTTTTTCAAAAATCGTGTTGGTCTAATAAGAGAGATCATCTCTACTACGAGTCCTGATTGCTTTTTCCTCTAGACCAATACGGCTACAACCTGGATACCTGACAAAATGTAGGATCATTTTTGAGGCAGCTCATGGACGCGGGCACGTGTAAAAGCCAAGTCCCTCTCAGGGAGTCTTAACCCAGGGTTGGGTTTGCTGTCAGCACTTTCTGAGGATGATGACTGCTTGCCTCCAGATAAATGCTTCAACTTTGACCCAGTTCTCAGTCACAGCCAACAATATATAGTAAATAAGACTTTTTTGCATACCTGCTTGCATACTTTTTCAGTGTATATGATTATTTCGTATTTCAGACCTGGCAATGCTGGGGGTGGGGGCAGCAGGGCTCTTGTCCCTGCAGGTGGAGGCGGCGCTGCACTGGGGTGGCAGTGCACTGTGGCTGCCTCAGCGTCCTCTGCCCCTGTCTGAAGCTCACAGCCGAGTCGGCCAAGTCCTGCTTCACGCACGAGACTGTAGCTCAGGCCAACCAAGCTCTGTACTTAGGGCTTGATGTTTTCCTGCCTCTTCTGTCATAGTTTGCCCCCGTGTAAAGTAACTGTGGGATTGAGCCACGGAAGAGGCGGATGCTGCAAATGCCCAGCTTGCTACATAACATATAGGAAAAATGAGGCCATTTTGGAATAGGGGATTCACAATATCCTGATAAGTAGGAAGCATCCCTCCCCCAGTCCCAATGGAAAGCTACTGAGATGAATGCTTCTGGCATCCTGTCTTACTCTGGGTTGCAGGGATACAATTTCCTTCTCTTCAGATTTACAGTACTGGCTTGTCTTCTGAGTATGGGTCCATAATGCCTTTCTGCCCCCAGAAGAGTAGGTGCGTGTCCTTTCTTCTGAAACGCCACCAGTAGCAGTGGTTCTGCTTCTGCCCTTTGTCTAATAGTTGCACCATCAATTCACTCACCCAAGATGTGGATTCAGCCTGTTCAAACCCCTCTTTGGCCTGAGGAGATTCTGATCAATTGCAAGACATGGAAGGGATTCGTCCACCTCCTAGGGATGGAGGCTTGGCCCTGGGCACCACCTTGGCCTCATGTGCAACATGGCTTCTCATTCAGCCATCAAGCCTTCTGTGGGTTGGTGGTACCTCCCTCTCGCTCCTATTGAGCCTGTTTCAATCTGTTTCACTGAGCTGGAGAGAGAAAGCAGAGATTAGGGCTCTCATCTGGGAGAGGCGTAACCCCAGTTTCAGTCCCTGCTCCAGTTATTTTGTTTGTTAGCTGTTTAGTAAGCTAGAGAATCAAAGTCATCCTTGCCTGATACAACTTTGATTATTCCATGTGAAGGGAAGGAGGGAGTAAGAATATGGTGCATTTCTAAAAGATTGGAGATGCAGGCTAGTATCCCTTCCAACAGAGGAAGAAACTGAACACAGGAACTCTAATCTAATTTTTTTGGTTGGGAAGTCTAATCATTGAGCCATTAAGTAAAAACAGTGGCACAGGTGTCATTGTCATCATCTCTGGCTGACTTTGTGCTAAGCCTGATCTATTAGGCATGCTGTGAGAATACCTACTAATTGGGCTCAGGCTCTGGCTGGGCTGCAACCCTGCACCCACCATCATGTATTAATCGGGGGGGGGAAATGTGCCCACAGGCACCTGCAGCCATGGCTGGAGAGGACCCAGGAAGGAGTTGTGCACTGCCAGTGCTTTCTGCATAGCGTGGGGAGCAGGATTCCAGGGGGCCACATGCTGCTGCCACCAGCATTGCCCGGGGAGTTTCTCTGCTGCATATGGCCTGTGCGGTATTTGTTATTTCATGGTGTAAGTGTAGCAACACTAGGTACTTTCAGTAAGTATCTTCTAAAAAAATTAGTGACTGGGTAAGCCAGTTAGTAAAACAGTGATTTTTAACCAGGATGCCAAGGTACGCTGGGGTGCTACAAGATTCTTTTAAGGCTGGTACAGGGTACCGTTTAGACTTTGCACGTTAGAGTTGCAAATAAGGTGTGCAGACACCTACACATGATTCACAAAATAAACCCAGAGATTTCAAATAGGAATCCATAGTGTCAAAGCCATTCTGATATTTTGTCATCTAAGTTCTTTGCAAAAATTGTCATTTTATTTATCCGTAGTAAAAAACCAGAGGGAAAGCTAAGACCTGCATTTTCCAAGGGTGTTTTGAATCTAATGTGGGTGGGGTGCCTTCATTCTAAAAATTTTGAGACCCACTGAAGTAAAGGCTAAATTTAGCTGCGAGCTTAACATTCACAGTCAGGACCACATTTTAAAATGAGCTCAGTATGCTGGGTTTTTTGTTGAAGCTGATGAGGTTTTTTGAAAATATAGCTGTTAAGTCTCACAGTGGGAATTTCATGTTACTGAACACTTTGGGAAGTGTTTCCCTTATTTGTGTGCTTTAGCAAAAGTTGACTCTAACTTGGTCCCAGATTTGGTGGGGCTAGTCTCTTAAAATATCTGGTTACCAAAGCATTGAGTCCTTTCAGAATTTTAAACTTTGGATTCCTAAACACTGATTTTGCTGTCCATACAAAGCCACCTACTTTCCAGTGCTTTTAAGGGACATATTTTTAGTGAAATTCTTCTAAAGTCAGTGGCATTGTGCCAGATATTAATTTAGAATATTATTATTTCAGTTTGAATCCTTATTCGTCAAGTTTTCCTACTGCAATCACCATATTCTGCAGTCCTTTTCCTTAATTTATTAACAAAATATCTATTTTCATGTACAGTGTTTTTGGTAAAAATGCATTGGATATTTTTGTCATGAATTTAGGGTATATTGTAATATTAATCAACTTTTCATTTGTTTTAACAACATAATTATAATCTCAGCCACTATCAAATACCAATGTATTTGCTTTTATATTGTAAACACAATAGCTCTTTCATTTGCAAGTATTTATTTGCTGTAAAAGTTCTAGCAGTAATTTTTGGCAACATACTTCCAAACCTTAATTTTTCATATTACTAACTCTTGACTAGCAGCCAAATGCTGCTTCATTATCTGTAATTGATTTCCACTGAAACAATGCAGCTTGCAGAGATAGATATCTCAGGAAGAATATTTTTTTTAAATTTCAGTGGGCTTTAAAGAGTAATATTGGTATTGCTGAAAAAGTGACAATTCTTAATGTTCTATAAACCTTTGATGCTTGGGAAAACTTATTGTGTAATTTACTGTTTACCATAATGTTAGTTGTGGATCTAATTCAGCTATCCTTACATGCTGAATAACACATTGCTCTGTGTGTAGTTCTGTTGCTTAAATCCTGTTTTTTTCTATAGCAGTGGCAGAACTGGGCTTTTTATAGTAGTCAATAATGGTGGAATTTATCAGCAAATATTAACCAACAAAACCAATAACATTTTTAATTAAAATACATTATCAGAGCAAAATGTTTTGCTTGCATCAGAGGATATCATTCTGGCAACACCTAGGAATGTTTTTAAAAGCATAAGATATTTACAAGCTAGTTGTTATTATGCATTATAAACTAGCATATTGAAGGCACTGCTGCAAGAATCCTAGTGAAGACTGAATTCCAAAATACAATCTATTAAATTTAAGAGCAGTTTAAACACTCTAAAAGCAGCTCAGTGGCACCACCAAGTGGTAGCATCATTGATTTCAGCACAATTCAAGGATATAGGTCTTGTGTAGGAAAAAAAAGGGGTTTTAAAATCATGTTAGCTGCCTCGGGTAACTAATAGGGCTGCGCGAAATTTTGCCGAGTGTTTCGTTTCAAAGCTGTTTCGACGTGTTTTGAACTCAAAACAGCAAAATCAAAATGAAACAAAAAGCTTCGAAACAGCTTTGAAACAAAACGAGGTCACTCAAAACGTTTTGAAAGTTTCGGAACGTTTTGAGTTTCAAAGCAGCCCAGTGGCAGGAGGCAGGGGAGAGCCAGGGCTGCGCTCCAAGCGGTTCCGCAGCCCCATGGAACTCAGCCTGGCGGCGGGAGGAAGAGCAGAGCCCTGGCTCTCCACACCTCCCACCGCTGGGCTGTGCTCCATGGGGCTGGGGAGCTGCTCGGAGCACAGCCCAGCGGCAGGAGGCAGGGAGAGCCAGGGTTGCACTGTCACCCGCCTCTGGGCTGAGCTCCATGGGGCTGTGGAGCTGGTCGGAGTGCAGCCTGGTGGTGGGGAGGGCCAGGGCTGCACTCTGACCAGCTCCACCAGCCCCACAGAACTCAACCTGCCCTCCCAGCGCTGCTGGACTCCTCCTGGGGTGTGGCCCCCTGGATCTGTGTGCTGGATAACAGGAGGCTGCCGCTGCTGACAAGTGTCATGAGTTTTGCTTTAAACAGTTTGAGGTGTGGTTTCCCAGAAACCTCTGCACCTATCTGCTTGAAACTTGGCAGGCTTCATGCCCTCAGAAGAAGTTACTTTTCCTGTAATTTTCATCTGATTCAGGCAAGAAATTACAAAGTTTTAGGCATTTTCATGATTCTTTGGGTAGATGTGATATCTTTTATTAGACCAACTAAATAGTTGGAAAAATTGTTATTTGCAAGTTTTTGGGCACAAACACCTGCCTTCTGACATAGGGAGAATCTGCTGGTGTTTGAGTGCTCTCTTGGGTGGTATTCCTAGTATTCTACCCAGGAGAATACACAAACACCAGCAGACTCTCCCTATGCCTGAAGAAGGGTGTTTGCACGTGAAAGCTTGGAATAATTTTTCCAACTATTTAATTGGTCTAATAAAAGATATCACATTTACCCAAAGAACCTTGTCTGCCTATTTCTGTGACCAACACAGCTATAACCAATACCTAAAGTCAATGGCATTGTGACAGATATTAGTTTGGTATACTGTTGTTTCAGTCTGAATCCTTATTTATCAACAGTTTTCCTACTGTAATCACCATATTCTGTCTGGTGAGGCCAAGAGAACACTGAGGCTAGGAGAACCCCAAGACTCTGGCACAGCCCTAGACCCCTGGTACGTGCACACTGAGCCAGGGACCCCTGCACCCCTGGACTTGGGCACAGCCCTGTGGACCCAAGCACACCAGGACCCAGACCACAGCGAAGACCCACCTACCTGAGCAGGAGCTGGTATACATGGTTAGGGTGGTGGGGGCAGAACTTTGGGCCTGGCTT